AGTGACCCTCTAGGTGGCGTCAAGTAGGTTCCGACTCATAGCAACTCACTAGGTGATGTCAAGTAGGTTCTGACCCATAGTGACCCTCTAGGTGGTGTCAAGTAGGTTCTGACCCATACCCTCTAGCTGGTTTCAAATAGGTTCTGACTCATAGTGACCCTCTAGGTGGTGCCAAGTAGGTTCTGACCCATAGCGACCCTCTAGGTGGTGTCAAGCAGGTTCCGACTCATAGCGACTCACTAGGTGGTGTCAAGTAGGTTCTGACCCATACCCTCTAGCTGGTTTCAAATAGGTTCTGACTCATAGCGACCCTCTAGCTGGTTTCAAGTAGGTTCTGACCCATAGTGACCCTCTAGGTGGTGTCAAGCAGGTTCCGACTCATAGCGACCCTCTAGGTGGTGTCAAGTAGGTTTCGACTCAGAGCGACCCTACATACAACAGAAGGAAATACTGCCTGGCTTCAGTGCTATAGCAAGTTTCTCCTGCTGTTGGCTGTCAGCTCATGTTTCTTCTGAGCTTCTGCCCCTGCACAATCTTTACGTGGCTGGGCTTCCGCCATTGCTGCTTGCTAGCTTGCTTTTAATCACATTTTTAGATCAAAAAACATGGATTCAAAATACAGCCAACACCAATACTTTGAAGCGTTGAAGAGCAAGGATGCCACTCTGAGGGCTACAGTGCACCTGACCCAAACCATGGTATTTTCAATAACCTCATATGCAGGTACTGGTTGGACAATGAATGAGGAAGACCAAAGAAGTATGGATGTGTTTGAATTATGATGCTGGTGAACGATATTGAAAATACTGCCAGAAGACCAAATAAATCTGCCTTAGAAGATGGACACCCAGACTGCCCCTTAGAAAGTGAGGGTGACCAGATCTTGTCCTACGTGATTTGGACATATTGTCAGGCGAGCCCATTCCCTGAAGAAGGATGCCTGCTTGGTAAAGTGAAGGGGCAGTGAAAAAGAGAAGGGCGCTCAAGATAGCCTGACGCCATGGCTGCCACAGTGGGCTCAAACAGA